CCTGTCCATTGTCCCCAGAGGCAGGGAGCAGGGCCCACTGCAGTTTGGCAACTGATTGCCCTCAGGGGGGGAATGCCTGTGCATCTGACCTCCCCCCACACCTAAGTACATGCCTTTATTTAGACCTCTACAGATGCCTCCTAGTTCTTTCCTCTGTTTCCTTTTACTTTCCTCCTGTCCCACTATCATGTTCAGCCTTCCTTTGGGTTTCAGTAATTCCTCTCCTTACATTACACTTGGTCACGACCTACCAGGCCTCCTACATCCTCTTCACCACCGATTTGGATCACTTGTTGTTGTTCTTGTCCCTGGGCGTGTCAACACCACTTCCTTTCCCCTATCTCCCCTTCTCCCATGCCCCCTGATACCTTTGGTCCCATTGTTTTCTCCTCTAGATTGTTCATCCAGCCTATCTTATTTAAGACAGACCTGCTCAGCACATTTTTAATCCAGTTTGTGTGGTAAAATTAGGTGCCTCGGCTGATATTTGGGCCAGCTTATGTTCAAGTGTATGCAGTATGTTATTTATAACCCTTGGCTCACACAGGCTGGCATGCTCGGTCCATGTACACTTAGTTGTTGTCTCACTTAGATGCTTGCTTGTTTGAAAACAAGCTTTTAAGACCCCAGATGCTATTCTTTCTGATAGTGGGCACATCTATTTCTTCACTTTGCTACAGCACCTTTATCTTCAGAGGTCTCTTTACAAGGGCAGGAAAATAGCATATATTTATTGGCTTTAACTGGCCAATTTTACTTTAATTTTTTTTTCTTTTTTTATCATTTTATTAGGGGCTCATACAACTCTTATCACAATCCACACATACATCAATTGTGTAAAGCACATGTGTACATTCATTGCCCTCATCATTCTCAAAACATTTGCTCTCCGCCTAAGGCCCTGGCATCAGGTCCTCATTTTTTCCCCTCCTTCTCCCTCACTCCAAATGTTTTAATTAAATGATCATTTTATTGGGGGCTCTTACCACTCATAACAACCCATACATCAGTTGTATCACACATATTTGTACACATGTTGCCCTCATTCTTTTCCAGACGTTTACTTTCTGCTGAGCCAGGGCAGTAGTTTTAGGCCTTCATCCCACCCAGCCGCAAGCTCCTGAAATTCTGTTTTGCATTGCCCCGATTTAGATAAGAATTCTTTCATAGAATCTTTTATCAAATATCTAGCTGAAAGACACCTTCCATTTCTTCGGGTCTCCTGGCAAGAAGCCATTAAGACAGGTATTCCTGACCTTCCTTTGTTGGAAACAGGGACCACTTTTACACCGTGGATGGCCACTTGCATGAGTTAGACCTCAGACAGTACTCTAGGAACCTAAGCAGAGATCTTTTTGGAAGACGTTCACAAGGTCTTGGTCCCAGAGATGCTCTGGGATTTGAACTGCGGGCCTTTCGGTTACCAGCTGATTAATTCAGGATTCATTGCACCTGAGTAGCAACTGAATGTAGGAACTAAGCCGTGAAGGCCAAGCACCGTTGACTGGGAACCTGCAGGGGTGCCAACATGCATGGAGACATTCCTTTTAAGTTGTCTTAAGCTTTCTGAAGCCCCCTCAAATTTGTAATTTCCAGAACGAGAAAGGTGTTACTTCTGGAAAGGCCTGAAAATGGCCTGAGTGGGTCCTCTGAGTAGATGTCAGGGCCCCAGTTGACAGGTTGAATACCACCCCTACGCTGTTATACATCTTCATGTTGATCTAAAGTGATGTAACTACCACAGGGGCTTTGGCCGGAATCCAACCAGGGCCTCCTCTTTGAAAAGTTAAGCCACCATTGTCCTCCCTGGGCAGGGGACCCAGTTTGAAAGGGCTGATGTCAGGCTGCCAAGGGAGAACCAATCTAAATCTGGCCTGGGCTTGGGCAGCAGAGCCCAGGGACTCCAGTGGAGCAGAGAAAGGGAGAAGATGGGGCGCGGGGAGACGATGTGTGCCTGGCTATGCAGCGATGTGCTGAGCCCCTCACACCCCCTTCTTCATCTCCACTGCCGTGGACCCTCTTAACCATCTGCAGTGATCAGGGCACAGGCCGCTGTCTTTCTGTGCCAGAGCAGTTCCAAAAAAACATCTCACCAGAGAAGTGCCATGAGCGATGCAGGGTGGGAGCCATCAGCCATCAGGATGGTCGTGCCCCTACCCCACCCCACCAGAACCTTGGGTTTGGCTGATGTGAAGCAGACAGGCAAGTGCCACAGGGCCACCTGTGGGCAGGTGCTTGCAGCTGTCCTCCAAGGGTCTATTGCAAATGTCCCTCCTGGCTCTAGATAGCTTCTCAGCCTTCCCGGGAGGTAACTGAGGGTCGGCTTTGCACAGGGGCCGCAGGTCAGGGGCCTCTTTGGCCTGGCCTGCCACACAGAAAAGGGGGAGCCCTGGGGGGGGGGTGCCTCCCGCTGGGGCCCACCCTGAGTGCCTGCTTCCCTCCCGTCTGCAGGTAAGGTGCCGGGTGATGACTGTCCCCTGGTGTGGGGCCAGTGCTCCCACTGCTTCCACATGCACTGCATCCTCAAGTGGCTCCACGCGCAGCAGGTGCAGCAGCACTGCCCCATGTGCCGCCAGGAGTGGAAGTTCAAGGAGTGAGCCAGCGCCCAGACTTGCTCCCACTCCAGCCCAGCTCTGCTTCCAGCCCCTACCTGGACTACAACACCCCCCCCACTCTATGCCTCAGGCATGGCCCCCCTGGATTCTGCGGGGGGGGGGGGAAGGTAGGCACATTGCTTGCCACCCCTCAGCTCCACCTGGGCTCACTACCCACCAGCTGGGGTCCTCAGAAGACAGCCCCCCACCCCCGAGGCAGAGTTGAAGCCAGCCAGTCTGGTTTCCTGTGAGAAGCTGACAGGTGTGGGGGTGGAGTGGAGTGGGGGTGAGGGGTTGACATGCATTAGAGTCTCCTGGCTGGCTGGAGGCCGCCGGCTCCTGTTCCCAATATTAAAACTCTCATGAATAAACATCCCTTCAGCACCTGCGGCCCACTCCAAACTGACTCAGGCTGACAGCTCAGCTGGGAGCCCCTCAGCTGTGTGCCTGCTAACTGGCAAGGTGACCCCAAGAGCCAGGGCAGCATGGCCCCTCCTAGGAGCCCCTTAGGGAGGGTCTGGGAGCAGCGTGTTTGGGCCCTGATTTTGCAGCCAGGGAGCCTGCTACAGCCCTGTGCTCCCCTCCAGTCCTGTCCAGTGCAGCCTTGCAGGCCGTGTGCGTGGCCAGCAGCTGGTCAGATGACTTGGCAGGGTGTCCTCCCACCCTCCTTCTAGGGACCATCCTCTTCGCCCACCTGGGGGCCCCTCTCCTGACATTATTCTCTAGGGAACACTCGTCTCCCTTTCAGCATTAGAGACCTGAGTCCAGCCACTCCCTTCTCCAGCGAGGTCACGGTCTCCCTGCCTGCAGCTCCCTAAAAAGCTTGGACAACTGCCCCATGCTCTAGCAGAGCCAGCCTGCAGGCCTGGCTGTCCACGCTGGCCAGGCCTTGTCCTGGGTCTCTGGGCCCATCTACGAAGGTTCTTGGCACAGTGTGATGTGTGGTGGACCAGGTGCCCAGGCTGGGGCCACAGGAGCGCTTCAGTGGTTCCCCAGCTGGCAGAGCTGCTCCCACTGGCACCCAGGGGCTCTTGATTCCCTGGCCGAGCAAGTGGCAAACAGCCCCAGGATCCAGCCCCGCCGTGGAAAGGTGCTTTGAGCCCCACGAGGTGCAAACGTAAGCTGGCGCTGCAGGGAGGCTTCATCCTAGGAGTGGGGAGGCCCGTGGCGTTGCGCTTGTCCACCTGATTCACCGCGCCTCGGGCTCCCCAGCCCCCGCGCCTGCCTGCCAACCACAGATAAAAGCACGCCAGTCGCTGCTGCCACCAGCAGTCGCCTGCCTGCATCCTCATGGCCCTGCCCACCACGCTGGCGACCGCCGCCCTGGCCTTTGCTCTGCTGCTGGCCCCAGCTGGGCGCGCATGGTACAAGCCGCCGAATGGGCGCAGCTACTACTCTGTGGGCCGTGCTGCGGGGCTGCTCTCCGGATCCCACACCTCCCCTTACGCGCGGCGCGCCCAGGCCACCGTCCACAGCCCGGCATTGCGCCCAAGCCTGCAGAAGCCGGTGAGGACCAGCCTGAGGGCATGTGAGCTGGGGGGCGCTGGGGGTGGGGGGGGTCGTCCCTTTAGCTCTGCTCCGCTTGCCCCAGGCCGTGTGCATCCGCCACGTCGCCCCAAGTCTGCAGAGCTGCGCGCGGCTCCCTGACGGCGGGACCTTCCAGTGCAAGGCAGATGTCCTCCTGTCGCTTCGCCCCACGGACTGCAGCAAAGGCCGAACCCGAGCGGGACTGACCAGGGGCCCCGCCCCGCCCCCAGCCAACTAGATGAATAAAGTATAGAGGGAACAGTCTGGAACGTGGGGCACCGCGCCGCACGACGGGGGAGGGGGGGGCGAATGGAGACAGGTCAGTGCAGCCCCAGAGGCCCTTCTGAGCCCGCCCAGGGGCACCCTGACCTGCCTGCCTTCACCCTTCATCAGCCCCAGGGCGTCACAGGGCAGGCTGTCCTCCCACAGCCCCCATCAGTGGCGCAGCTCTGAATTGCAAGGTCCCCCAGAAGCCCTGCCTTTGAGAAGCCTTGTTACCCATCAAGCTGATGGTTTTTCGTGGGCCCCTTTCCCTCTGGGTGGGGGACTCTGGGGGGTCACTCTTTTCTCAGAGGTTCAATGTGGACCTGGAGTAGATCTGGGGTTTAAGGGCTGGGAGGAGGGAGCGATTTAACAAGTTAACAGACCCACAAGCTCCTTGGCACACTCCCAAGATCCAGTGTCCAGAGCAGGTAGCCACTGTTCAGGGAAGTTCCAGGAGGTGGGTGGCAGAAAAGCTACCCATGGGAGCCTGGTGGCTGGGCCGCAGTCCAGTCCCCACTGCTGCCAGTGCTCCTTGAACCCTGAGGGGAACCAAAGGTCCCTTGGGGAGGGCAGAGGGAGGCAGGTTGCAAACACCTCCCTGCAATCCTCACATGTACACAAACCAAGGCCCACTGACTTTCCTCAGACCTGACCTGAGAACAGAGCCCTGGGGCACACAGCTTGGGAAGGAGACCCTGTGGTTGGTGAGGGGGCCTGCAGAGCCAGCTCCTTATCCAGAGTGTCCCCTCCCCCCTCCCGCCGTGCGACACAGCCACCTGTCCGCCGCTCGCTCGGGGCAGAGCTTCCCATGGTTTATTCAGCTGCCCCACAGACCAACAGCAGCATGTGGGTACAACACAGGATGGGACAGTCCCAGAGCAGTGGGGCCTCGGGAGGAAAGCAGGGGGCAGGGTGGGCCCACAGGAAAGGAGGGGCGGCTCTTCCTGGAGCACCCCCTCCCACTCGCTGGAGCTCCAAACACCCCCCACACACACACATGGGTGGTGCAGCACAGACCGGTCTCGTGGGAACAGCCCTGCAGAGCCTCTGAGGACCAAGCTGAGCAGGGGCTGGGCCTCCACGGATTCAGGAGCAGCACTTGGTCTAAGCGCCCGCTCCCACTTGGGCTTCCACTCCCTGTGTTCACAACTCAGCTAGGCAGCAGCCCTCCAACAGCACGGGGAGCAGGCAAGTGAGGAAGACTGCCCTGGGCGCTGCAGAGCTGGTGCGGGAGGGGGCTGGGGAGGTAGATCTAAGCCACAGGAAGCAGGTCAGGGGCGGCAACCTGATGGTCAGAGGTCACAGTCCCTCTCCTGCCTGCGTGCGGCCTCCAGGAAGGCCAGCTCCTTGGCCTCTTTCTTCTCGTTCCGCGCTTCGTACTCCAGCCTGTGGGGGGCAGGTGCACCTCAGCATGGCCACCGGCCCCAGGCAGCGGGCCAGGCCTTCACTACCTCACCTGTTCTTGATGATCCTCTGCACAATGAGGTCGGTGGTCAGGTCACTGCCGCTGTCCACCTGGCAGAAGATGCCCCTCTGTTTGGGCTCCTTGGGGAGGGGGGGATGTATCATGTGTGGGTACACGCTCACGCAGGCGCCGTGTGGGGCCAGGCTCAGTGGTAACCCAGTTCCCACTCACAATCGCTCTTCAGCAATGAACGGGAGACCCCCGACCCACCTGGTAGGGGTCTGAGCCATCCTTATCAGGCACAATCTCTGTCTTGCCATGACATACCAGGTCCACCTGGGAGAAATCTCTGGTCAGCCATCACCACTCAGGACCCTGCCCAGCATGGGTCCCTCGGGTGCTGTGGGCTCACCTTGAAGTGGTCCAGGAGCTCAGCAGTGACTGCATAAGGGGCCCCAATCACCACTTCGGACACATACTGTGAGGACAGCACAGAGGCAGCTAAGCCCAGCCTCCACTCACAGGGGACCCCCAGAAACCCCTGCCCACCACTGACCTCTCCCCACCCTGCTGCCCTCCCTCACCCGGCAGGCCAGCACGCTGAGGGTCCGCTCATGCAGGTTCATGATGGGGTAGTTCTTCCCCTTGTAGTGGTTGACCTCCTGGGGGGAGGTAAGTGGGGTAGGTCAGCTGCCACCCAGAGATTATACATGGGGCTCCCTCCCAGCCCTCTCTCTGCCATGTCCTTCCCCCAGGGCTCTACTGCCAGAGCCTGTGCTTGGCCCTCCTCCAGGGCTTCCACCCCTGTCCATCAGTGCCAGCCCCTGTTCCCGCCTGTGCCAGACGAGGACCTGGTCGAAATGCAGGCCAGCGATGACATAAGGCCGCCCCACCAGCCCGTGCACTTTCTCCAGGAAGTCCACGTGGCCGATGTCTGTGGCCAGGTTAAGGAGCAGGCAGCAGGGAAGGGAAGGGAAGGGGCAGTGGGCTCTCCAGCCCACAGAGGCAGCAGGAAGCCCTGGAAGGATACGGAAGAGGTCGAAGGCCCCAGCCACGTAGATGACGGTCTCCCCGGGCTGCGGCTCCTTCCCAGACGCAAACTGGATGATCTTCTGGGAGGTCTGCAGGAACTGGGACACCCCTGTCCACGGGTTCCGGCCGCCTGGACACTGCAGGCAGAGGTGCTGGTCAGCAGCAGCCCCCACCCTGGGACCCTGCACAGACAGGGCAGATTGCCGGCGTGCCTCTGGAGGCGAAGGGTGAGGACAAAGGAGTAAGGGAAGAGCCTTGCAGCCAGGGAAGGGGCCAAGGCTGGCAGGAGCTGGCATACCCCCCCACCCCACCCCCCGAGTGCCATGGCCCAGGCAGAGGAGCTCCTGTCCACACCACCAGCCCACCAGCACACGGGGTATCCCAGGGCCAGCATCAACACCAGGCCAGGGGAGGAGACAATGGCAAGTGGCCAGACACAGGCCTGTAGGACCCAGCACCCTGAGGCTACCATCTGGTCATCTGGGTGAGGCCTTCTGAGGACAGGGTTTCCCAGATGAGTGTCAGGTGAGGGGGCTACAGAGGAAAGAGGCCAGGCCACTGGGTCAAAGCCCTCCAGGCAGTGGCTATGGAGTACCCACCCTTCTCCCAGTGCCCCCAAGCTGGCCATGAGCCCTTTCCTGGGATAGGCAGGAGGTGAGGAGCCTGCAGCTTAGCCCCAGGGCAGCGTGGGAACACTCACCTTGCCAAAGCTATCTGCGTATTCCCGGTACTCAGAAAACATCTCCTATGGGGAGAATGAGGGGCGAGGGCTGAGACAGAACCCAGAGGAGTGGGTGCTGATGAAGGAGCAACCTCTCCCCTGCTAGGTCCCCTCTTCCCTCAGGTACATCCTAGACCTTGGGGTTGCATACTCACCTGGCTGCTGTGGTGGGCCTTGGTCACCAGCAGCATCCGGCCGACGAGGTCGGTGGTGGAAACGCCCTGGGTCCGCTTGCACTCTCTGCCAGAGGAGGCAGCAGGATGCTAAGCATGGTAGCAGTCTGCCCCCACCCCTCCGCCCCCCACAAGCAGAGACCCAGAAGGCTGCAGCGCTTGGATCAGCTAGAGACCCCCACCCCCTACAGGATGCACAACACAGGCGGAGCCACTGGCCATGCTGGGCTTTAGGTTGAAAGTAACCCTATTTCCGGTGCTCAGCGCTGCCAGCGGCCACTGTCCTGGACCACACAGACTAACACATGCCACTTTTTCACAACCCTGCTCCAAGTGCTGTACCTACAGGGGCAGGGGACACAGGACCCCATCCAAAGAGCCCCTCTCCCCACCCCCCACCCTCGAGTGCTGGGGGGCGGGCACCCCTGGCTCACCTGTACCGCCCGGCCTGCTTGACCTCCTCGTAGGTGTCTCGGCCATCCACCGTCAGTGTGATGTCATCTGTGGCATCACGCACAGAGCAGGACCCTCAACCCAAGGCAATGGCACTTTGGAGCCTGAGACACCCCCTTCCCACTGTGACAGGCCCACCCGGTGTGCACCAGAGTCTGGGGAAATACCCACAACTCTCCTCTGGCCTCTCCAGGGACCCCCAGGTCTGAATGGCCACCTCAAAGGCCTCTGGGTGCGGAGTGCCGGGCCCACCGCACCCGAGTGGTGACCTGCAACAGCCTCAGGCCCAGTGCCACTCACTGCCGTGGACGCAGAAGTCACAGTTGTACTTGTCCAGTGTCTCCAGAGTGGTGACGTAGGGGGCTGAGGGTACCACTTCGTCCACCCACTTGATGGCCTGCACCATCTTGTACCTCTCCTCCTGGGTGAACACGGGTGGGCCCTTGTGCTTGGAGATCTCCTCTGTGACAAGAGGGGCAGATGGGCACCTGAAGGGCCTGCCACAGGCTGGCCCAAAGCCCCAGCTAGGCCTAGCACAGGAAGGCGGGGCAGGGTATCCCAGAAGCCAAGACTCACTCACCGTCTGTGTGCACACCCACGATGAGGTAGTCGCCCATGGCCCGAGCCTGCCGCAGCTGGTTTGAGTGGCCATAATGTACCATATCATAACTGTGGAGGGGACCAGTCAGCCACCCAGCATGGCCCCAGGGGACCAGTGAGGGAGCCAGGGCCCCCAGGAGCTTCCGCCTGACCCCTCAGTAGTCGCTAGGTCTACTCTCCACACCCCTATCCTTGAGTACAGGGACAGCAGTGAGTCCATTGGGGGTCATGGTCTGAGCCCTCCTCTAACCAGTCGCATGCTTCGGGCAGAGGTGCTTCATGCTAAGTCAACATCCATTTGGGACTGCATCTTGTGCCACTGTACACCCACATTAAAGCAAAGGTCAAAGGTTTGGAATGGCTGGTTCCAGAAACTTCAGTGAGGTCCGAGTTTCTGGGGCAAATGACGACATCCCTGCCACCCATCCCAAGAGCTTTGTCCTCACACTTGGGGGCTGTTGTTAATGCTCTGGAATGTTCCTAGCTCCTGTCAGGGACAGAAGGACCCTCTCAGGGAGCCACCCTGCTGTCTGGAGAACAGAAGCTGGGCCCTTTCTTGAAGGGGCAGGCACTAGGCACAACTGCAATCCCTCCACGCAATAATCCCCTACCACTTCACCCCAGGGGCAGCTGCTCCCAGGGTCCCTGCCCAGGGTTGGAGAGAGCGCTGGCAGGCTGTGCAGACATGGTGGACCCAGACACAGAGCAGGAGTGGGGCTGGGTGTGGGATGTGTCACTTCTGTGGCCTCGCGGTTACGGCCAGCCTGGGCTCAGGGGTTATGACCAGGGTCAGAGTCCACTGCCACAAAACCATGTCTCCTTTCTGAGATGAGTCTTGGGCAAGGTGCAACTCTCAGGTCCTGGGCTAGGATAGAGGACCTTCCTGTTGATATCCCTGTGATATCCACCCAATAATCCCCTGTGTCTGGGTCCACCATGTCTGCACAGACAGAAGTCGGTGGCCCCCGCCCCCAGGAACAGTATCTATATTGGAAGTGTCACAGCCAACTAGCACCAGAGCCCTGGGACCACAGAGGTTAGTTACACATGACTGCTCCTCTAGTGTCCCCTGCAAAGAGGCCGCTGACTGGTGGCTACAGGTTTCCAGTCAGGGAAGTTCTGGTCCTATCCGTCCTATAGGGTGGCGAGCAGTCGCCTGGACCGCAGTGGGTTTCTTGTGTGCATAGCCTTGACAGCCCTAGAAGGCCACTGTCCAGTGACCCGAGTGGGCACTGGGTACGCCGTGCCTGCGGTCCAAGTCTCCCACATCAGAGCCAGCTGAGAGGCCGGCCTCGGAGGGCACGGCCGACATGCTGCCCTAGAGAAACGGTCAGTTTAGGAACTGGATTCGCACCCGCATCCCGGCCGTGCGCGGACCGCCCGCCCGGCGAGGCTACGGGCCTGTCTGGGCCGTGTGCGAGCTGCGATCACGCACGTCGCCCGGGGGGACCTCCACGGGGACCCTCCCAGGAGCCCGCGTCGAGCCCGGGCCTCCGGAGCGCACGCTGCGGGCTCGGGCAGAGGGGGCTGGGGCGGACGCCGCGCCCCGGGCGGCCTAACGACCTCGCCTCCGGGGGCAGCAACGCTCGGCCACCGGCCGCCCTCCGGAGCGCGGCGCGGCCGGGCACCAGGCCGAGCCGCCGAGATCCAGAGCTGCCCCGCTCCGCCCCGCGCTCACCAGCCGTCGCACCACACTCGTACTGCGCGCCGGCCAGCTGACTCCGGCGGGTCCGCGGCGCCCACAGCCCCGTGCCCGTTCCGGATCATGGTTCGCCGGCGACGCAGCCTGGCTCCTGCGTCCCAGCAACTGAGCCGCCGCCGCCTCCGCCGCCCACCCCGCGCACGCGCGGGGCCGTCACGCAGGCCTCACCCTGCCGCAAGCAGCCAATGGCGAGCGCCGACGTCTGGGCCTCGCCCCGCCAGCCCCGCCCCGCGACGGCCCCCGAACTCCGACCAACGGCGAGCGCTGCTGGCCCAGGCTCCGCCCCACTGCCCGAGGCCCCACCCCGACCACGCCCCCTCACCCCACCAATGGCACTTGAGGCCAGCCACCCCCTGCAATGGTACGTCACTTGTACGCCCCGCCCCTTCCAGTCTGACCAATGGCGTGCCCCCCACGACGAGCCGCGCACACCACCGCTTACTGGTCGTTCAAATTAGCCAGGCACCGGGCACCTGCCTGTCCCCGGAAGGAACCTCTCCTAGACCCGTGCGGCCCCCGCCCCGCCCGCAGGCACCCAGACCGGTCAACAGTGCAGTTTATCGTTTAATAAGGACGATAAAAAGACTGAGCACCAGGCTCCACGCCCCACCGGCCCAGGCCCACCCACACCGCACACCCAGCGGGAAAGGCCCCTGCACAGTTAGCATCCCGAGTAAGTAGTAGTAGTAGAAAGGGCTGGTTCCTGAGACTGGCCGTGGCCGAGGTAAGGCAGCTGGTGCTGCTCTCTCAGCAGCTGGGTGTGGAAACGCCCTCCTGAGACCCCACAGAGGTGCAGGGGCAGGAGGTGCAGGCCCCAGAGATGGGCGATGGCTGATCCGTCACTACATGCCTTCTCACCAGACCGAGGGCAGCAGCCCTCCAGGGGACCTCGGCCTGAGGAGGAGGACTAGCCAGTTGCCAAGAGACCACCAAGTTCTTTCCCTAGCAGCAGCTACGTGACCCTCTTCCTCTTGGTGCGCTTGGTGCAGCCCCTGCCAAACCAGCCCCCTCGCACAGGGGCCGGGCCTGCTGGGGTGCCCTGGCCGCCAGGCAGGGCGTCCTCTCTGCTGCGGCACAGGGCTCTCTGGGTGTGGCTGTCTTCCTCGCTGGCACGGAGGGGGGTCGCCAGTGAGAAGATGGGGTCCTGCCACCTACCAGGAAAGGAACGTGTACACCACAATCAGACAAGGTGGGAGGACTTGCCCCTCGGCCTCCGCCTGCCCCAGGATGGGAGAGCTGACCTCTGCCTCCACCTCCCCACTGTCCTTCATCTGGGCTGGGCTGTGGTCCGCAGCAGCGCAAGGGCAGTGACGCCAAGGTCAGCACTGTGCCGCGGTGACCATGCACAGGGATGGGCCGCCTCCACCTCCAGGACCAGGCCCTCGCTACTCTGGGCCCCTTCACTTGCTCCCCCTTTTCCCGGATGGTCGGGGGTGGGGGTGGGGGGCAGGGTGGGAGGTTGTGAAGAATCATGTGTCTGAGTTGAGATGCGGAAGCACACGTCATGAACGTGAGACACAGTGCGCGGGCAAAGAAGATGAGCTAAGTTCATGTAAAAATAAAGAGGTACAGCACACAGCAGGCCCACGCCACAGAACACCACAAACAACATACAAGAATTGCCAGGCCCAGAAGGTGAAGGAATCCTTAATTTCTTGAACCCTTTGATTAAAAGAAGTTATTGATTTCCCCTAAAAGACCCTGAAAATTCACAGAGAAAGAAAGTGTAAACCTTTTACTCAGTACACACACTACAACCACACCATCACAACTTCAGCAGTCAGGTTCAGTCTGAGTGCCCACAGGCCGGCCTGCCAGCACCCACACACCAGGGCTCCAGGCTCTGTGGCCCAGGGCCCTTCAGCCGCCTCCCACCAGGCCCAGCACCCACAACAGAGGGAAGAGAGGGGCCCTCGGGCAGCGGGCCGGCACGGTGGGCGCAGCCACAGCGCCCACTCACCTGCTGTAGGGTGGGGTCTCCAGGCCCAGCTCATTCATGAGGAGCCTCATGACCTCATCACACTTCCCATGCACCTTCAGGGTGGCTCCGTCGTCTTTGGGTGTCCACTGAGGCGGGGACACAGCCATGAGCAGAATGCCCATTTCCCACCCACAACCAGTAGCCTCAATCCTTCCCCTGCAGCCAGCCCCACACCACCACCACCCCTGCCCCGCATACCTGCAGATTCACTATATACAGTTTGGGCCGCCGGCTGGGGGGTTTAGTCATGCACCAGAGATGGGGGTACTTCTTCAGGACCTGTGGGAGCAGACGGGGCACACGCGGGGCAGTTGGAGCTGGGCTTCGCAGAGGGCCTGGCAGGGGAGGGGAAGTGAGGAGTGGGACCACTTCTTGGTACCTTTAGACTGGACCCCAAGCACAGGATGGTGTCTGCCTTGCTGGCAGCTGCTGTGGCTGCCTCCCAGTTCAGCGGCTGCCCCAGAGTGCCCCGCTCCCCGAAGTGCACGATGGTGTCACGGAGTTGTGCCCCACACTTGTGGCAGGTGCGGCCTGTCTGGTGCCGGTGCAGGGCCGTGCGCTCTGTCACATCGAACACTCGCACGTACTCCCGGTTGGGGATACAGGAGGTGCAGACCTGAGGGAGGGGCCGTGAGGGGCATGAGCGGGGAGTGCTCCATGGGGAGGTGGGGAGAGAATTCAGGGAGAGGCACCTGGTAAGGGGAGGGGGGAGGGACCTGTGAGCAAGGAGCCCCACCTTACCACAGACCCCTCACCTCTATGTACATGTTCCCATGTAGCTCTGAGATGGCCGTCCGGGGAAGCCCGCTCCTCAGGTGCAGCCCGTCACAGTTCTGAGACACCACGTGCTGCACCTGTTGGGATGAGGGGGGCTCCTGTCACTCAGGGGCAGGGGAGCACTGCACTCAGAGGTAAGCTGTTCTTGGCTGGCCCAGTCTGTGATCAGCTCCAGGTCAAGGGCAGCTGTACAGCAAAGCCACTGTGCCAGCAGGGTAGGACAAAGGAAGACTCTCCCCTAGCGGCTCTGAGGGGCCCAGAGGGACAAAGGGCTAGTGGGCAGTCCCCACCCCTGTTGGAAAGGGACTCAGGGCTCTGGTTATAGAGACCCAGGAGAACTGCCCACGGCCTGCAGTGAGGCCTCGGGGCTCAGACAGTGCCTGGGAGCAGGCTGTCAGAGGGTGAGGGCGGGCACTCACCAGCTTCTGTTCGTGCAGGCGGGTGATGCTCATGTGGGTGAGCGTAGGGTCGGCCTCACTCAGGTCAGTGACACTGCGGGGAGGGAGGGGGATGGGCTGAGATCCTGTGGGGTTAGCCCTCCTCACCCTAGCTGCTGCCTCTGCTGGGCGGCCCTGGGGCCAAGCAGCTTACCTGACATCCCTCCCCTTCTGCAGCAGTGTCCATACCCCATTGGGACCCCGGTAATCTGGGATGGAAGCTGCCTGCATGTTCAGGAAGAAAACAAGCCTGGTGAAAAGTGCCTGGCTGCAGGGAGCGTCCGACTTCTCTGCTACAGGAAGCAGGCCCTTACCTGCCTCAATCCTGGCGGCCGGCCAGACCTGCCTGCCGGAGGGGGGTCCAGGAGCTCCCTTTCTGGGCTGCCCCGTCCCCCAGTGCCCAGCTCATACTTCGAGGCTGGAGGAGACATCACACACACATTCCACCCCCACACCCACACCAAACCTCTTCAGTGTCACCATGCCAGCCCTGCCTATGGCAAGGAACCCGGTCTCGGGACATGGTCAGCTGGTGCTTCTGCAGTCAAAGGGCCTGCTACCCCACCTTGATAGGCAGCCCAGTCACTGCTTCATCACCCAGGCACCAGAGGTGAAGAGCAGCTCTCCCAGGGTGGGGAGGAGACTGCCTGCTGCCGGCTTAACGAGCAGACCTCGGCTCTCAGGACCCCTGACAATGCTCCTGTTGGCTGCTTGGCTGGAAGGTGACTGGACTCCAGGGGAGAATAGTGAAAACCCTCCTTTCTTGCTTCACTTCCAGGCCTGGGTTCAGGGCCAGTCCCTGATCCTGCAGTGCGTGGGGCCTGCATCTGTCACCGCAAGCCTGAACAGCCACTGCCCCTGTAGGGCTCTGCTCAAGACACTCTGACCTCATGAGCGATGGGAACCACTTGGTGCTCACCTCTGTGGGGCCCCGTGACTGACATATGACCATCATGCTTCCCAAACTGGTCATGCCCCACAGCGCCTCCATGAGACACCTCCAAACTCGGCCCTACCCCCTCCTACACCTCTCTTTCTGCGGCCCTCTTCTCTCCCTCGGGTGGGCACCGTGATACAGCTGCAGTCTGAGTCGCTGGAGGCCCAGCTCTGCCCGACTGCACCAGGTGAAGCGGTACTGCTTACCCCTCTGCCTTCTCTGCTTTTCAAAGAACTGGACAGAGCAGGGCTCAAGTATCTTTCAAGGGTTGGGAGGCACATACTCCCTCTCGGATAGGATTTGTCTCTAAGAAAGGCAAAAACCACCCTCCAAAACCAACCACCATCAAATCTACTCTGATTCCGAGACTGCCTCATCTTTCTCTTGAGCAACAGCCAGGGGGGTTGAACTGCTAACCCCACCAGGGGTCCTTAGGAAAACGCAGGGAACCTCACCACTTCTGTGGAGTCGATTCCGACTCAGAGACCGTGAAACGGAGTAGAACTGGCCCTGTGGGTTTCGCAGACTGCCTCCTCTCTCCTAACCAACCTCATTTCTCAAAAACTCAATGCCATCCGTTGATGCCAACTCACAACATGACCCAATAGGACAGGGTAGAACGAACCCTGTGGGTTTCTGAGACTGTAATTCTGGAGTAGAAAGCCTCCCGAGGGATGGCTGGTGGTTTCAAACTGCTGACCTTGTGGTTAGCAGCCAGCAAATAAAGCACTCTTTGCCACCAGGAACCCGACAGAACCACTGCTTTAAAGATTCGTTTTCTGGGCTGGGTTGCAATCTGGTCTACAGAGCCCCGCCCCCCTGCCCTCTCAGGTCCTGCAGGAGGTTCCGCTGGACGGGGCCTCCCTACCGTGCTGATCCCCGCGCCCGTGTAGACCACCAAGTACTTGGCGTTCCTGACGGCGCTGGCCAGCTCCCGGACTTTCCTGTGCAGCTCCTCCGGGTCATCGCACACCTGCGAAGGCACCGAGGCTGGTCAGGGCTCACGCTCCGACCCCGTCCCCCGCCCCGGGGCAGCTGGCGGCCAGGGCAGCAGTCCCACGCAGGCACGCTCCGAGCGAGGGCTGCCTGCCCGGCGCCACGAGCAACTCGAGCTCCGGCCGCCGGACCCCTCGCGTCGCAGGACTCGCCTCCTCCTGGCGCCGCTTCAGGCCCTCGCGCCGCCGGCTCCGGCCCTGC